TGTGTGTGTGTGTGTGTGTGTGTGTGTGTGTGTGTATATACGAGCGAGAGAGAGGTGTGTGTATTTTTTTTTTCTATGCAGCTTGTGAGGTATATTGATGGCTGGCTGTGTCAGACTAACAGTTTAATTTGGCCTCAGGAAATTTTCCACTGTTGGTTTTTCCACTCCAGGTGATTCATTAGGAGGATGGTTACCATGTTTATGCGCACATTTACATGTACTTGCATGTACATTTGCGAGTAACGGGGTTTTCCCCGACTTCTCGTTAGATGAAGAGCATGTTGAGTTAGCAGACTGCTTTATAGTTTTAGCAATAGCATTGCCGCCCACATGCATACATAAGCTTTAAAACTTATGCAAATACAGTGATACTTCCATACAGCCTGTGGAAGGACAGATAGGATATAAACCCTGGAATGCACTTAATCTACTACACCCATCTATCAAGATTAGCGATTAATCAAAAAGACACATTTGCAGCTCATTCATGCTTCTGTCTGTTTTTTTGATTGGACCACCGAATGTGCTGCTGCTCTGCTCTCTGCCCACACACTGAACAGTTCAGAAAGCCACGGCTGCATGGCGGCAGCTTTATCGAAAAATGTTGGTGAATCCCATCAGGTGGTGAAACAAGCTGGAAAAAGTGCAAATTTGTCAAACTATATGATCAACAGGCGCTAAGTCGTTTTAAAAATGACTAAATCAAATATCCTGTGTATAAACAAGCTACAATTAACTGTTAATATTGTTGATGAAGTTCCTCTTCTGCAATTTCAAATCTCAGCCTGTAACAGCTTCTACATATTGTTTTATCTCACGGCGCACTATCCATGGGCTGCCTGTATCATATTTTACTGACTTTTATACAGTTTCTCTCACTGCCAATTTTTCAACAGTAACTTAGCGTGATGTTTCTGATATTGTGAGTATGACTCATGGACAGACAGGTCCATGTGTCATACTCACTCAAGGATCATCTCCTGGACTCTTTGTACATGACTGCAGGGAACCCATGCTCGTTTTATTCTGGCTGTACTTATAAGCTACGTCTGTGGCAGATGTGATGAGCCAAGCAATCGCTGACAGCTCCACTCATTTAGGAACAACACAGTTTGACGTTTTGAGCTGAATGTGAATAGGCTTCAGTCTGCATGTGTGATGAGGTAAACACTTTTTGTCTCTCTCACTGGGATGGAGGACAGGTGACACAATATATACATACACAGACACACACACGTGTACGCAATCAGTCAGAGGTCTGCAAAGGCAGACAGAAATATAAAGAAACGTATACATGTGTGGACAAATTTAGTCATGTAGACATGGTGATGGAGAGATGTGGTCACCGAGCTTCATGTGTTTGTGCCTCATTGAATTAATCACAACGCAGGCCGACAGACTTTTGGCTTTTGTGTGTGTGGGCGTGTGTGTGTGTATGTGTGCACATGTGTGTGTGCGTGTGTGTGTGAAGCAGTGAGTCAACACTGGTTTCCATTCAGACTGTAATGTTTAAGCTCTTTAAGCTCCAAATGAGTTCTAAGTCTGCCCTTGACCAAAGATTGTGCCAGTCAACTAGGGGGACGATGAGGGGACTAGTCATTGGGTGTTTGTTTGTTTATTTAATTACATTATGTTGCCAAAGGTATTCACAGATACATCCAAATCGTTGAATTCAGTGGTTTCAATCGCTTCCATTGCCACAGCTGTATACAATCAAGCACCTAGTCATGCAGACTGCTTCTACAAACATTTGTGAATGAATGGGTCGCTCTTAGGCGATCAGTGAATTCCAGCGTGGCATCGTGATAGAATGCCACTTATGCGACAAGTCCCATCTTGAAATACCCTAGTATTATAACAGAGTGGAAGCTATTGCGAACAACAGCAGTGGGGTCAGCGGATGCTGAGGTGCATAGTGCGCGGAGGTCACCAACTTTCTGCAGAGTCAATGGGTATAGACATCCAAAATTCATGTAGCCTTCATGTCAGCTCAAGAACAGTTTTCATAAAGGTATAGATGAGGTGGTGTTTTTTTGTGGGAGGTCCCTTTTACTGTAGATATGCATGAGCAAAACCTCAGCCTCCATTGATATAAATATTTGTTGATATATTTTTGTCAGGAACTGTAATATTTAATATTACCGCTATTGCCACTTTATGTAGGCGATTCATCAATTGTCTCTAATTTAAAACTTTTTTCTGCCAACCAGAGCAGCAATTTTGTTTTCACTAAGTAATATTAAACTTTTTTAAAAGATTGCACAATCTACAACAGAAAAAATTCTCCCTTTCCCAACAGGGACACATCCAAGATATCAAAGTTTCTAACAGCTCTCACTCTCACTGTCCTCTTTGTTTCCAGACCTCTGATCCAGCTCAGCATTTTAAAAGGCAGGACTCTCAAACTGCTGCCCACACTCAGAGCTACAGACAGATTGGCATCCAGAGCAGAGCATCTCATTCCCATGCCAATGGAAGCCACAGCATCAGTTCCTCCACCGCCCATCAGACACAAACACAGAGTTTACCGCAGCATTCACCCCAGGGTCAAGCACAGTCCCATGCTTCAGATGGAGGGGTCCCACCTGGTCTAGCCAACACCCTGGAACACATTATAGGCCAACTGGATATTCTCACTCAGGTAAGCAGAAGTAGTCCTGTACTTTGTGCCTCCTACTCACACTCTTCAGAACAAAAGCATCATTTACTTTACAGCCTGCAGTACAGAGATATTAAAGAAGCATAAAAAACCCACTACAACCTCACAGTGTTGTTTGGTTTTCTAATGCTGTGCAGTTATGTTTAGTTTTATTCCTCACATTTATTGTTATATTTCAGTATTTTAGCAATTATTCTCTACAGAAGGTGAGATGTACCGAGACTGGGGATCTGTGCATTAGCTGTTTAAGATTGGGCACCAAAATGTAATTGTACTTAACATCCTCCAAAGCAAAAGCTTAAAAAAAGAAACTTGCTGTATGGCTAAAGTCTGGCAGCTGAGAAAAACTGTGTCTCTGTGATATGAGTAAGCTTTGGTTTGTTTGTGAAATCTGTCCTTTATATTCATTTGGTCATTGCCATCAATTTCCTCTATATATAAACCCTTTTTTTTATATACAAGGGTTATATTGTCATTGACTAAGATGATCGTATGCAATTCCTGGCTTCCCTTTGATTGATTCCTGGGTGCTCTGGTCTGCTTGCCAAAGTACAGTATCTTGAGCATAATACTGATACCCGAGCTGCTCCTGATGCGATGATTGGAGCGTGTGTGTGTGTGTGTGTGTGTGTGTGTGTACGTTACATAGAAAGCACTTACACGTAGAAGAAAGTGCTTGTATGAATATGTGTGTGAGTGGGTGAGACATATATTTATAAAGAGTAAAATAGAGTAGAAAAGCAATATACAAGAACCTGTCCATTTACCCTTTAGACACCATAGGTTTTTCTGTATCTGGTGAAGGCCAGTCCGGAGCCTGGAGGACTAAAAATAGATCACTAAGGAAGAGCTGAAAAATTTAAACTCCGCAAGCTCTGTTTGTTATCAATATATGTCCCTTTTTTGTTGTCTTTTTTTTTTTTTAACTACATAAATGCGATTAGTGATGGACACTGAAAGGCCACAGGGAATAAATGTCAGAAACAATTTGAGGCTCTGCAAAATTATCTATCTTTATCTATAATTTTCACTTGAAAGTTTTTGCAGGCGAACTTGAACAGTATTAAATTAAATGCCTGTAGCTCTGTTTAATTTGATAGAAACACAACACAGCAAGACAAAAATACAGAAACAAGAAACTTTCTTTCTGCCTGTGGCACAAAAAAGAGTTTTAAAGTATTTAAACAGAATAAAATTGTTCAAGGTACAAAGACAGCAGGTGAGAGAAACAACTTGTCATGTGGTTGAAAAAAAAGGAGACTAAAATAATGAGGAAGAGGCAGCAGAGAAGAAATAGGGCACCGAGAGGACGCAGATGTAAAGAGTTGAATGAGATGGAGCTGAGACAGCAGAAAGATGTTTGGTCTTTCTCTGTACTCGATGCAGTGTTTCAGCTCCGAGCTTGTGCACTCTGAGGAAAATACATCATTCATATATGCGTGCTAGCAGCACTTACTGTCTTACTCTTGCATAGTAAGTGTAAATACTTAATGGCCTTGCAGAGACACAGAAACACTCCTTGTATCTGTGTGTTTCTGTCAAAGGGTTCACACTGGCTCTTTCGCCTCTCCTTTCTTGAGCTTCAAACTGTAGTTCACCATGTGGGAGTGTTTAATATTGGGCAGGAACTGCCAGGCAGCTAGCTGACCCCTCCCAGGGGGTGGTGCCAGCCTTTTTCTTTCAAGCCTACTGTACCCCAGCCCCGATACCAGATGGACCATCTGCATCTGGTTTACTATTCGGCTCTCTTGAAAATTTGTTTCATTCTTGGTTAGTGGAAACATGAGCGATGTCATTTCTAGGACTAGATATTGTTAGAGGAAATGCATCTTGGTTTCTGTAAGCTTTTTCTTACTTTTTTCTGGGTGTTACTGGGAAAAAATGGCCTTCCCAAATAGTTACAATTATTTCCAGAACAGAATCATTCTCTTCACACCATATTAAGCCTCTGATTTGTTATAAACATATAGGCAGTGACTGTGAAAAGGAGAAAATAGGGCAGTATATTATGTAACAAGGTCTGGATGGCCAGCAGTAAAATCATGGACATTGTGGTCATGTGGTATATACCAACCACTGCTAAATACCCTGTAATTTCTGCTCTCTTTTTTTTAGCTGTTTTACCAAATAAATGATGTGAGGTGTTTGCTAAAAATGCGGCCCGCAACACAATCAAACATCTCTACTCCGATCTCGTCCATCTAAAGGACGTTGTTCTTTTGTTCAGGTGCAGCTTCACAAAGCAAAGCCATGCTGCCATGTTCTTTTTAGAGAGAAAAGGCTTTGTCCTGCACAAATTGTACTGTCACAAACTTTAACATTTAACATGCTAAGAGGGGCAATGCACCGTCTGACCTTGGGATAGCATTATGTTAACATACACATTAATGCAAACTAGCCAGACTTCAGCTTTTATAGAGGTGCTCACACTTCCTTAATGATGTTAATCAAGTGAATTTGATTAGAAGCACCTGGCTGCTACTTACCCTTCCTATGGAAGCAGTAAGGGTGTATTAGTTTTTCCACAGGGCTGCAAACTTGTACTCTTGCACTCAATTATAGTACTTATGTAAGTTTTCCTTCTATATTCACACAAAGTCACACTCAGAGTATTGCTGTTCGATATAACGATATATATCGGATGACGATATAAAAACGTCTATCGTTTCATTTTACACTATCGTTTGTTTCGTGGTGTCGCAAAATAAACTGTTTACGCCAATATTTTTTCATCGTTTTGATGGTCACTGTAGTGGCTATATTCATTTCTTAAAGTTCTCTCTTTCTCTTCTATTTTATATAGCCACACTACGGATGGACAAGCGCCTGTTTTTATGCGTTGTTGTTAGCAACAACGACGGTAACAGCATCGCGTTTCCGCTTGTTTATGTTCCACATAAACCTTTCACAATAAAGCTCAAGATCCTGTTGAGACTTTTCAAAATAAACTGAATCACGTGAAAGAGCAGATTATTTACGGATGAGAATTAAAAAAGAGCCGCCAGTTGCTAAAAAATAAACCTTAGACTCAAACGTTAGAACAGGCTTTTCCCCGCAGCACGCTGTGTAATAAATACTCACAAAGAAAACAGTGGCCGTTACAACTTATGTCTAAAAATTTCATGCATCGGTTAAAACACTCGACTCCAAGTACATGACGCGCAGCTGGAAACACCTCCCGCGAGACGAGCTGCCCGAGATTCACAGAATTTACAGAAAATGTTACATTTTTGTGATTTATATCATTATCGGGACGATAGAATTCTTATATCGGGATATGAGATTTTGGTCATATCGCACAGCCCTAACTCAGAGTAGTCTTGTTGAGGCTGATGTTAAAAGCTTGAATTCATTCATCTGTAAATGCCTGATAGGGTATTGTCACGTTGCCAGGCGGGTGGCAATGTGAAATTAAGACCATACATGTATCTACTAGAAGTCTCAGGGTTAGCACTTGTACCAATATTTTTTTTAACTTTGCGCACATGCAATGTTAAATGCAGCTGGACAAAAAGTAAGTCTGAGGCAGGCTCAGTCGTTGGTCATTGAAAAGAGATGTAACCTGAAACAATCTAAGGTGCTCGTATTACTTTCTTAGCTAGTTCAAAGTGTAATTTAGCTACTTCCGCCCATCCTCTGGAGAGTCGACTGACAAGGCAACATTACTTATTTCGGCACTATAGTCCTACTCCTTTATAAATCTTTTTTCGAGCACTGTTTTTCACCATTACATTTCTTTGTAACTCTAATACTTGAGGAGACCGGGAGGAAAGATGATGAATAATTCAACATTAAACTGAATCTTCCAAAGGCTCAGAGTCTGCTGTGTTAGCTGCTTTTCTCTTGTCTGCCCCCTCCTATTTCTCAGCTGCCATAACGCTTTCTCTCTCCTCTCTTCGCTCTTAATTTATTTTTTAAATTTTTATCTGTGCTGAAATCAGGTCACATTTACATATAATGTGCCATATTTTCCATCTCCTTTTAAAATCAGACAGTCTAAATAACAAGTAATTAGACAGATGAAATGGATAAAGAATAAGATCAGTATGAAAATGTCAATTAAAGCCTGCAGTCGGCTTTCAGATATTTGAAAATTAAATTTATTTGGAAACAGCCTATAACAGCCCTTTTCTTGTGTCTCCAGGAAGATTTTTTTAATACACTGGTTTTGCATTAGGATACATTATTTCATGGCTATCATGTTAACTGTTCTCTTCTTTGTATGACATTTTTCTTTCTCTGCTTATTCTACGTGTTTGTCCATCGAGTTCAGCCTCATAGCAAAATATGACATAGTCAGTCTGTTTGTTTGTGTTTATGGAAGTGAATTCTACTGTTTTTATTTTTCCTGACAGTCGGCACAAATTTCTAAGTAATGTAAGGAAGTAAGTATAGTTTGTATCTGTGGGAGGTTTGTTGTCCAGACAGTGCATCGCTATGGCAACCAAGAAAACAGAGCTTTAAAAGAAGAAGTACTTTAGACCAAACTATGAGCTTTTTCTAAATCTAAGTTGTTTGCACTAACCAAATCTTTCTGTGTGATTTGTTGTGATTTAATAACATATTAAAAAATAATACAAATGATTTATGAAAATCAGTGACATGTCTGAGTTGTACTTGGGCCTCTGGTGTGAGTAGCAAAAATGATTCACTGCACCACCAACCCCAGCCCGCCCTCCAACACATGAAACATATGGACTTTTTTAAGTAAGTAAGAAAAGTAAAAAAAAAATATTTTGTGTCTGTGAACATGAATGTGTTCATATGAGACTGGAGAGAGATCATGTTCAGGAACAGAAAAATAATGCGTGTCCAGAAACCGATATAAGATGGTTCAAATCTGTTGACAGTCTCAGTTTTAGTTTTTACTCTTCTTTAACTAACCTTATTCTATTTCTTTTTACATTTTCTTTGTTTTTGAGCAGTGTTGTATTTGTACATTTATGGCCACATGGCCATGACCACAGAATTGATGTTAAAGA